ATAAAATTAATATTTACTCTTCATCTTCGCTTTCTAAGTCTACATCTTTAATATAAAATCTTTCTATCTTATACTCATTTTTAGATACAACTGCATCTAATAATTTTACTTGAATAGATTGAATCATTGATCCTATATATATACCTTCAATTGCTAAGCATCCAACAACATCACATCTTTTTTTAATAAGACTTTCTCCTAAAATATCACCATTTTTATTTCTGAATACTTGATCCATCTTTTTACTTTTATAATCTGTTGGTATTTTTGCATATATAACTGGAGATGCCTTAAAATCATCATTTCTATACTTTAAAATATTCAAGTTGTTAATATTTAAGCTTTTCATACCCCCTTTTTTTAACGTTGCTTCATTTTCAATAACTTTATTTCTACAAAATTTTTCAATAGCTTCAATAATTGCAATAAATATATCATTTTCACATACAAAAGGAATTGAGTATCCTGTAAGTTCTTTTGTTTTCATGTCTCTATTTTCACAAACTCCATATGATAACGATTTTGGAGTTTTTACTCTTAAAGGTTCTGAAAAGTTAGAGTATTTGTATTCAATTACTATTTTTTGATATTGAACAGGTTTATTAAATTTTTTTATTTCTTTTACATATAAATTTGCTTCATCAAAATTTTCAATATCTACATATGACATTCTTTTTATATATAAAATAAAATTATTTATATCATTTTCAATTTTTTTAATTTTCTTGTAAAAATATATAAATTTTATCTTACATCATTTGCTAGAGTTGTAATTTGAAGTTGTTGTTGTTACAGTAGTATTTGTATTAGCATTACCAGAAGTAGCTGTTACACATATATTCACATTTACATTTGAGTTGTTCATTTTTTTAATAGTAAAAAAAAATTTAAATCACTATGTGATTCGGGCTTTGTCAAATATTTTTCAATTCTGTATTATCAACCCATGAGTTAAAAGTATCAGGATACCCATACCACTTTACTAATGATTTATTACCTTGTTTTTTAATAACTTTTTCAATTCTAAATATCTCTTGACTTGTTTTTTGAAGTTCTTGTTCATAAAAAGTACCTTGTATTTCTTCATTATTATAATCAGTTATTTTATAAGTAGGTGGATCTGTGTATTGAATTTGTGATACTGTAAATACTTCTTCAGTCCATCTTGGTGTGTATCCTTTTTCAAACGCTCCTTTCTTTTTAATTATTCTTACTTTATCACCTATTGTAAACTTGGGATGAGGAGACTCTGATATTACTTTACCATTTAAATTTAGCCAAACTTTATTTTCATTCTTTTTATTGCTTGCTTCAACTGGAGTCATTTTAATTGAAGAATGCTTTGTGTTGTTGTATTGTTTTACCATTTCATCTAAAACATCAATGTATTTTCTAGTAGAATTAGCAGAAAAGTATTTGAACATTTTCTCTTTCATTGTTCTATTCCATCGTTCAACTACACAGCTTTTTTCTTCATTTTCAGTTGAATAGAGATGAACACCTAATGCTTTAACATGCTTATTATAAAATTCTAAACCTTTATCAACCCATAATTTATTGCATTTCCTATCTTTAAATATTTTATTAAATGCGTTAGCAACTTCAATTCCTGTCTTACTTTTCAATGGAATTATCCATCCATACTTTGAAAATATATCAATAACCATTAACAAGTATTTTATACCATTATTAAATTTAGAATAAGCTTGCATATCAACTAAATCAGCAGCCCATATTTCATCTATTCCATTTGCAACTACTTTTCTTTTTCTAAAATGTTTTATAACAGGTTTATGAAGTTCATTTGCAAGTTCATCAGTCCATTTCAGGTTTTTGCTTTTTTTCCTCTGCGTTGGTAGTTTTTTTGACATAATTCTTTAATACTTATTGGTTCTTTATTTCCCATACCAAACCTTACTTTAGCAGATATGATAGGTTTTATAATCTTTCTTTCTAATTTTTCACGAGGTGTAGGATTAGGTATAGCATCCATTTGTTCAAGCATTATTTTATCAGCTAAATTTCTATTCTCTTTATCTGGAAAATGTTTATAAGCAAGATCATGAATATAAGCTGTTTTATCAACTCTATCTACAGGCATGCTCCATTCTTTAGGCATCTCAGTAGAAGTTAATCTTTCATCTAAATTAGTACCAGGTCCTGCAAAGTTCATACCTGGTATATGCATTTCACCTGGAAACTTTTGCAAAGGTAATTTTCTATTACTTGTAAATTTATTAATAGATTCTATAAAATCACCTCCTTTTTTAGCTTCTTTTGTAAATTGACATTTTCTTGTTCCGCAGATTGCACAATTTCCACATTGCATATTTCTTTTGTTTTTACTCACAGCATGTTGTAAGTTGAGTGTATCTGTTTTGTTTTTACATTTAACGCAATACATTTTTTATATATGTATTTTAATTTATTTAATTTAAAAAATACTTTTCGTAAATAAAAAATGGAAATTATAGATTTATCATGGAATGTAAATAAAAGTAAACGTCAAAATAACAAGTTATTACCTAAAAGTATAAGAGGGATTATTGTTGGAAAATCAGGTTGTGGAAAAACAACATTATTATTAAACTTGCTATTAAGACCTGGTTGGTTAGACTATAATAATTTACAAGTTTTTGGAAAATCTCTTTTTCAACCTGAATACAAAATATTAAAAAATTCTTTTGAAAATAAATTACCAAAAGAAGTTATTCTTAAACTATTTGAGTTGCAAGATCAAATAAATAAAAACAATGTAAATCCAGAGTTTGTTATTAAAGACATTTCAAGAAATTTAAAAGATAAAACAGATATAGAGTGTAAATTTTTTGAAACAGCAGATGATGTACCAGAACCTGAAAATCTTAACTGTATTAAAAATAATTTAATGATATTTGATGATTTACAATTAACAAAACAAAACAAGTGTGAAAAGTACTATATAAGAGGAAGACATAGCAATGTAGATTGTTTCTACTTGGCACAAAATTATTTTGAGTTGCCTAGGAGAACGATAAGAGAAAATGCAAATTTTATTTGCTTGTTTAAACAAGATTCTAAAAATGTAAATCATATTTATAATGACCATGTTTCAAATGATATGAAATTAGATGAATTTAAAAAGTTTTGTAATGAAGCTTGGTCAAAAAAGCATGGATTTGTTGTTATAGATTTGTCTTCTGATCTATTAAATGGAAAGTATAGAAGTGGATTAGATTTATTTTATTATCCAACTTCATTGTGGAATCGATAAATATATATTTTTTAAAAAATATATATTATAAGATTTAGCAAAGCCTGGATCACGAAGTGATCTAAAGAAGAAGACCTAAGAAGGGTATATTCTTAAATGGAGAATTTTCTCCTAATAACAATCCTCTACCTACTGATGAATATTCATTTCCATTTTTAGAATAATATCCATCTAAATAATTATAACTACCATTCCATGGGTTTAAAAATACTCCTTTTCCTACTTTTCTAATTTTATATCCATAACCATTCTTTTTTCCATAAATAATACCATTTCCAGCAATTTTATTAACTACAGCATGTCCAGCAGCTGCACCTACTCCTGTTAATGCTGCTGTTGCTATAACCGGAGCAGCTTTTGCAATTACACTTCCAATTAATCCAGCTAATCCTAGTAAAGGCAGAAATCCACCATTTTTTTTAGCATTATGTTTAAGTTGTGCTCTACTCAGTGAAAGTGTTATACCCTTGTTTTTTGAATAGGCTGCTTCCATTCTGTTTATTTGTGACTCTGTTAAAGCTATTTTATGTTCACCATTTAGATCTTCATATGATAGTTTTATAATAGCATTAGTATCAGATTCAATTGCTTTTTTAATTTTCTCTTTCTGAGTATCTGAAAGATTGATAAGAGTATCATAGTATTTTGTCATTTTTTATATATAAAATTATTTTTTTAATTCACTTTAAGTTATTGCTTTCTGTAATGCTTTATACTCATCATCATCTATTTGCCCCTGTCGTAACAACTCATCACAAATAGCAACAATCTCATTTCTTGTTCCAGTATTTCCTGCTTGTAAACCAGCTAAGCGTAATTTAAGCATATCAAATAGTGCATTTGGATCACTAGGAAGAATGACAACTCCTTTTCCAGACTTTCCAATCATCTCTTCCCAAATAGGTTTTATTACATTAGTGTACTTATAACCTTTAGATGATCTTGGTTTAGCTAAATTTAAATCAGAGCGAATTGCATCTGTTTGATTTAAAATTTCTTTATACTTATTACGATCATCGTTAGTATATCTAACAGGATGAGATTTTACTATGATTTCCCAAAGACCAGGTGTACCAGTGTATTTTTTACCTTCAATAATTATATCATTACCTTCAATAGTTATTGGTTTTTTACCAATGTAAAATTTTTCATTACCTTCATTGTAATGTATACCAAATATGTCATCTGATATTTTTTTACTATTTTTAGTAGTATATAACTTTAAATATTCTGTTGCGATAGGTCCTAATCTCATGTTATCTACAACTTCAGGTGGCATGATTGCTTTAGTTTCAGAATCTAGTAAAGCAGGATAATTTGAAAAAGTATTTGCTATTTGATTAGCTTTATTTTCTAATTTAGATATACCTTCTTTTATTCCAGATTGACTATCTATTATTGGTTTGTACATTTTTTCCAAGTTAGTCTGTAAAGCATCATAGCCTAACTTTTCATTAATAGAATCTTGATATACACTTTTCTTTAAACCCTCAAGTTCTTTTGCTATTTTTAATCTTGCATCAATATCTGTAGCTTTTGCATACATTTTTATATAAGCAATAATTTTTTTAAATCACAATGTGATTATCAGATCCCTAAAAGGATTAAAATCAACATATATTATGTTTTTAATACATAATATATGTTCAAGTAAATACATAATATATGTTTTTTTATTTAATTCTTAAGAGTATTATTCATCACTCCTATATTCTGATTTTTGTTAAATCTCATATTTAACACTTCAATGACATCACTTTTGCCTTTTTCTATTCCTTTATTAAATATTGACTCTTTAGTCTGTTCATCTATATCATTCTTAGATTTTGTTCTAATTTGTTCAGTCATAGCTTGAAACTTTTCAAGTTCTGAAAGTATCATATTAAATTCTGCATCATCAATATATTGATCTGATATAGCTTTAGAAATAAGACTACTTATTGTATTTAGTTTTGCATCAGCTAGTACTTTAATCTTTTCATGCTTTTCTGCTTTAATTGTTAATTTTTTAATAGCTTGTGATCCTATTAGTGATAATACACCCATACCTAATGCTGCACCTTCACATGCAATAGCTACTGGTGTACCAACTATTGTTGTTAAAAAACCAATACCAACAGCTCCTAATGTCATAGTGCTTGCTAGTAATGTATTATCAACTGCTGAAATGATTCTTGAAGCTCTGTGATATTTTTTACTTAAAATCTCTCTTCTTTTCCTTTCACATTCTATTTTATCTTGAATTTCACTAATCTTTTGTAATCTAAAGTTATGATCTATAGATTGCGGTGGTGCAGATGGATTTTCTGAAAACTGGTTTAGATCTGGATAAAGCTGCTTACATTCATTATTATATCCATTATTACATAGCATTTCTTTTTTCTATAAAGAAAAATTTGTTTTAAATCACTTTTGTGATCAATGCTTCGCTAAATCACTTTTTACCAAAATCAAATATAGTTTTATCTTCATCATATATAGTTTCTTTAATTACTTCTCCTATACTTGATAATAAAGATTTTACAGATTCTTTATCACTTTTCTGTTTAGTTCCTGAGTCATTATGTGGTCTAACTTGTTCTTCTTTAACATGTTCTAAAGCATCTCTATGTGATATATAATTTGCATTTAAAACACCATTATAAGTTGATATACAACATAACAAATCTCCTTTTTTAATGTTTATATCTTTTTTATCGTAATTATATAAAGTTATTTTAATATCATCAGTAGACTCTATTACAACAGAATTTAGTAAATTTAGTGATGGTTTATAATTTTCTGCAAGTGAAATCATTACATGTCCTTTATCTATTTCAACTCCACACATTAAAGAAATGTTTTCATATGAATTTGATTTTACTGTAAAATCTTCTTGTGCGAATACTTTAATATGTCTATCATTTATTGCTCTATGTTCTAAATCTGAATTAATATTAAAAGTTATTCTATATTGTTCATGCTTTTCATAATATAAAAACATTCTACTATTATACATTTTATAAATGTAAAGATTTTTTTTAAATCACTCTGTAATCCTCATATCTATTTTGTTTTTAAAGTTCTAGCAATATAATTTAAAATGCTTTCACCTTGATGTAAAAAATTACACTTTTTATTATTATTAACATTTTTATATATTAATATTTTTTCTCCTTTTTTATTTTTCTTTAATTTACTCTCTACTAATTTACATGGAGTATAATGACAAATTTCTACATTTTCTTCAATTTCTTTAAAAGAATGAGCATATTTGCAATTTATATTTTTACATTCTTTTTTATCAAGAATATATTTACATAATTTAGTTTTAGCTTTTCTTAATTTTAATAATTCTGACTTTTTAGGATGAAACAATCTACACTTTTTATTCTTACATTTAGGGTATTCATAGCAAATATGAATATGCCTATATTGACATGAAGATTTAGTGCATATGAGTCTTTCTTTTACAGTATTACAATAAGGAATATCATGATTGTATTTACATCTATTTTCAAAATGACAATAATTATCTTTTAAAATATTTTTACAGAAAATGGGTAGTTTCTCTACAAAATGAATTGTTGAAGGTTTTCCGTCTTCAGTAAAATTAATATCTACATTAAATGGTTTTTCAAAACTAAATTTTCTTTTTTTATAATGTTTTTTAAAAGAAGTATTATCTATAGCAGGATAATCATCATTAATAACATTATAAGTTGGAATATAATTAATCCATTTCAGCTTATCTTTATGCAGTTCCATGATTTGAACTGTTTTTAAAGGAATTGGAACTATAGGTTTTTCTTTAACTTCATCTTCATCATCAGATGTAAAATAAGTAGCTTCATCAGATGTATAATAAGTGTTATCTTCAGAATCTGATTCTTCAAATTCAAATTTTAATATTTCTTCAAAAAGTTTAAATTCTTTTTGAAATTCAGATATTTCATTAATTTCATCATCATTCATTTTTTATTTTTTATTATTTGTAAAAATATTTTAAATCAAAAAATTGAAAATGAATTAAATAAATTTCTTATGTATATAAAAGAATGGAAAATAAAATTTAAGAATTATTAAAATTAATAGATGAAAGATTAAGGTTAATAGAAGAAAAATTAAATATTAATACTCATGATATTGAAATGACTGAAGATTCTGAAGTTACTACAGTTACTACTACTGAAGTTACTGAAATTACAGAAACTACTGAATATAGTGATGATATTGAAATGACTGAAGAAGATGATGAAGATGAAGAAGATGAAAATAGTCGCATTAAAATATTAAAATATTTACATGAATTAGGTTATAAAGATATAGAAGATATAGAAGATATAGAAGATGCAATAGATGATGCAATAGATAAAGCTGCAGAAAATGGTCAACTTGAAATATTAAAATATTTACATGAATTAGGATATAAACGTACAGAAGATGCAATAGATGATGATGGATGGAAAATTAATTGTGCTGCAAAAAAAGGAAACCTTGAAATATTAAAATACTTGCATGAATTAGGGTATAAAGGAAATGAAATGACAATTAATTACGCTGCAGAAAATGATCACCTTGAAGTAGTAAAATACTTGCATGAATTAAAGTATAAAGGAAATGAATGGACAATTTATTCTGCTGTTGAAAGTGGAAATATTGAAATTATTAAATATTTACATTCGTTAAGATATAAAGGTAAAGGTACAGATTATGCATTTAATTGTGCAGTAGAAAATGGTAACCTTGAAATTATTAAATATTTACATGAATTAGGGTATAAAGGTTCAGAATTGTATAATAATTTAGCTGTTAAAAATGGATATATTTAAACTTTTGATACACGTAGTGAATATAAATTCTAGTAGTGATAAAGTTAAGCAATGCTACTACTACGCATAAGCGCTACTATGCTTAAGTAAATCTCAGCGCATGCGCATTAAAAAAATAAAAAAATTGAAAATGAGTTAAATAATTTTCTTGTATATATAAAAAAGAATGGAATTAGAAAATAATATTGAGAATAATAATTTTTTAATAAAACCTTCAACTCAGGTATATTATATTACTACATTATTAAAACAATATGGGTATAAAAAAGGTAATAAGGTTGATTTCGCTGCAAAAATAGGTAAACTTTATTTAATTCAATTATTAATTCGATTTGGAGAAAAAGGAACAGAAGATGCAGTTAATTTTGCTGCAAAAGGAGGAAATCTCGAAGTACTAAAATATTTAGATTCATTAGGATATAGAGGAACAGAAGATGCAACTGTTTATGCTGCTAAAGAAGGAAATTTAAATATTATTAAATATTTACATGAATTAGGGTATAAAGGTTCTGAATGGGCAATTAGTTATGCTTTTGAAAATGCTGCTAAAAATGGAAATCTTGAAGTAATTAAATATTTACATGAATTAGGGTATAAAGGTACAGAAAATGCAATTGATAATGCTGCTTTAAATGGACATCTTAAAGTAATTAAATATTTACATTCTATAGGATATAGAGGAACAGAAAATGCAATTGATAATGCTGCTTTAAATGAACATCTTAAAGTAATTAAATATTTACATTCTATTGGATACAGAGGAACAGAATGGGCAATTAATTTTGCTGTATTTAATGATCATCTTGAAGTAATAAAATATTTACATGAATTAGGGTATAAAGGTTCTGAATGGGCAATTAATTGTGCTGTAGAACATAGTCATATTGAAGTAGTAAAATACTTGCATGAATTAGGGTATAAATGTGATGAATTTGCAATTAATTGCGCTGCAGAAAATGGAATTATTGAAATTATTAATTATTTACATGAATTAGGGTATAAATAAGAAGCAAGAAAAAAAATTGAAAAAATGGATTGTACAAGTAAAGATATTAAATTAGGAAGTTATAAAAGAAGATTAAGTTTAGCTCGTTATTTACAAAATAAATTTAAATTACAATATGAAAAGTTAGAAAAGGAAAGATTAGAAGAAGAAAAGTTAAAAACACCAGATAATATTTATTATTAGAAAAAGTCACGTGACCTATGACGTCATGCAAGAATTTTTCGTAATATTTCATAACAAGAAATAAAAATTAACACTTATTTTAAAAAATCAATTTTTTAAAATAAAAAAATATTTCTTGTTGAAATAATTTATACACAATATGGTTAACATTGAACCCTAAATTAATATTAATTTATGGTTGAAAATATGGTTGAAAATGAAAATGGCCCAGAACTCTCCTTTTCCTACTACTAACATGCATTAACTTAATTAGATCGTACAAAATTTTATATTATATCCCCGCTTCCCTTCTTCCCCCCCTCCCCTCCTTCTTTGAAAAAAATAATAATAAAGAAGGATATAAAAAAATTTTAAACAACATAATAATAATAATATATCATAAATATCTTTGTGATATATATTATAAATATGTGTGATATGTATCATAAATTACTTTTGTGAAAACATGTTTATGATTTTATAATAATGTTTGGATATAATATCACTAAGTTTTATAATAATTTTTTTATAGTAACTATAATTTAAGTCAGAATACAAAAAAAAAAAAAATAAATAAATAAATAAAAAAAAGTAAATAAAAAAAATTATTTAATTTTATTTTGTTAAAATCTACATATATATAACGCTTTTTCTATTTTAGAGTAAAAATGGATTTATTATTTTCTGATCTTAAAATCATTATTAAAATTATCACAAACTCAGAAATAACAAATAAAGCCACAAACACATGTGCTTAAATTTTGAGTGTAAAGAATTTTCTATTGGTCAGGCGTTTACTTCTACTTTAATATTCAACAAAGTTGTTCGCTTTCATTTAATATTAGTTCAGATGAGTTTAATAATTTAGCGTAGTTAAACCAAGTAGCGCCATAAACACATATGCTTTTAATTTTGATTGTAGAATTATGTCTACGTTAACTTTTACTTTAGTATTTAACTATGTTAAATATAAAAGTAAAAGTCAACGTCTACTCAGACGTTGACTTTTACTTTAATATTTAACATAGTTGTTCGTTTTCATTAAACAATAAATATTCTTAATAAATTGTCTAAATAAATATTCTTGCAATAGCATGAATATTTATTTAGACAATTTCTCATAACAAACAATAACAAAAATAATAACCTAACTTTTAATAAAAATTATAAAACAAAACAAAAAACTTTTACCTAAAAAATAGTACACCTTAAAGTATGTTATATTATAGCGCCACTTTTGATATTTGTACTTTTTGTTTGTTTGTTTTCTAATAATCATTGATTTCATCGATTAAAAAAAAAAAGAAAACATTACAAAATTTAAACTACATCTTACAGGGGCGTTTATAGGAATTTTTTTGGGTAAATTCATAAAAAAATATGACCCAGGCACTCCCTATTTTTTTTTAGTTTAAACCGGATTGAGTATATTTTATAATAATACTTAAATAACTCTTTAAATGACTTATAACATCGCTAATTACAGTTATTACTAAAAAATGATTACAAAAAAAAAATGTTTTTTTGAAAATAGACATTTGACGTGATGTATAATATTTTTAAATACAAGATTTTGCTGTTTAAATTTTATAAATAACTTTAAATCATAAATAAACTTTAATAATACTTACCGTGTGTCAAAAAAATATTGTAATAACTGTACAATACAAAATAATGTTTTCACAAAGATAGATTTCACAAAGTATTGAATACTATTATTTCAAAGATAAGAGACAAGTTTTTAATGCTTAAATGAGATTTAATCTATAAAACGCATTATTATTACTTGTTTGCAAAACCGTGGAATAAAAAAGTTATATTAAAAACATGTCTTGCTATACACAATGCAACAATAATCAAAACTTGTTGTTAACTTCAGTAGAAGTAGCAGAGGTTGCACGATTAAATGTTCTATTGATATTTAAAGACATTTTTCACGACTAAAAACCACAGGAATAAAAAACTTTTGTAAAGTATCCGTGCCATGATATCACAATTCATAAAACCGAAAGAAAAATTAGTAATAGCATTTATTAAAACATGAAACAGACAAGCTTTTCCTTTGCGTTTATATTGGAATTTTTAGTACTAAAAAAACGCACTGATTGTGTAGAAAAGGGCAGTAAAACCATATAAAATTTATTCATAGTTTAAGAAATATGGCTCTTTGCTAACTAAGGGAATAACAGTTCTCATATTTCTCATTAAGGATAAACAACTTAACTAAATAAAAATTTATACCTAATAAGTCTAAAAATTGGATATAAACATTCTAATTTTTTGCCACAAATGCTTAATTATCTAAGAAAATCAAGGAAGAACGATCAATTTTTATTGATGCAATTATATACTTCTTCTTGTAATAACTCTCTCTCTTCTATTTTTGTATCCAAAGGATAGGTGATATCAAAATTCGACACAATATAATATTTGGTTGTCTAATTTTAAAGGAACTAATTTTATTCTCCAACGGACTTTTTCTACAAAGTGCTATACAAACTTGCCAAATAAGCAACATTTTGAACTAAATCAACGGCCATATTTTATGTTTAGTAAAACAATACACAAACTAGACAGGGTGTATGTCTAAGGGAAGTCCGAATTTTATTTAATATAAAACTTGACACAATTTTACTCAGGGGTGTATGTAAAAAGGTCCAAATTGTTTGGACTAAAATAATCAAAATGATTATTTTAGTCCAAACTTTGTTTGAACTAAAATAATCATTTTGATTACTTTAAACTAATGAAAATATTTATAAATAATACAAATTTGAAAAAACAAAGTTCTATATAACAAATTAAAATAATGTTAATTCAAGTTTCTAATTAAGCTATACAACTTAAAAGTTACTTTACCCTCCATAAAAAAACTGTAACTATTTTTGTAAGTAATCTCAAAGTTATGAAAGCTAATTACTATTATGTTTTCCGGTTTTTAATTTTTTTCCAACTGTTTCAGGTAATTAACAGTGCATATTTTGTTATTGCTTTAGCTGTAGTTTGATTTTAGTAGATATATATATATATATAGTAAAACTTTTTTATCTCAACAATCAAGTTAAAATTTTTTTTTTAGGTTAATTCAACAACATAGCAACTATTCACTAGACACTCCTTGCCTTATAAAGGGTGTTTTATAATTGAAAAAATTTACTTCTTGTATGGATATAACACTATTATTTACTTTTTTCCTTAAACTTATGCTTAAAGAAATTTTTATAACTTTTTAAAAGTAAAAAATCATTATTTGAAAAGATGTAGTTTGCAGATATTAGGAAAAATTATTTTAATTTATTCATTCAAATGACGAAAAAAAAAAAAATTAATTTAAGTTAAATTATAACAAAAAAATTTAATATTAAATTTAATTATTCATTATAAATTAAATTTAATATTATAATTGATATGTAATTTTAAAACTTTAGACTTTCACGTCTCAGTAATAATTACAATATCTTATTTGATAGATGGGTAATTATAACTTGTATAAGGTATGATATATTATAAATTTTTTATTTAAGTAATATATCATAAATATTTTGGTAATTATGAAGTATAAGTTCTTATTGTAATTATGAAGTATAAGTTCTTATTGTAAACTTTATCAGTATTAAATTACATGAACTGAAATATTATTTTTATTGAGTATGAAAAACTTTGAAATCTGCATAAACTTTTTTATATTTGTTTTGTTTCAACTAAAATATAAAATTTATTTTATAAAAAATGATCTTTTGTTACTCCATTTTGTAACATAAATGGTATTTGGTAGAAATGTTGATGCAAGTTTAAGATATATTGATGTAAAAAAAGAATAATATAAGTCTAATTACACTTTTAAAAAAAACTAGCTAAAAAGACTAGACAATTAAAAACATGATATATTGTTTTTTGAATTTGGTATTGACTAGAATCATATTTCACTGCCAAGGTTCTATTTAGCAAGCAAGCGCATTGGGCTTAAGGCCCAAGGTCTGATAAAAAATTCTCGCTTTTATCTAATTTAGTTTTTTTATTTTATATCTATAAAGTTACTGTTTTATTGTGAAAAGGCTCTAATATATTTATTAGATGAAAATTTACACTAACAAGGGTTTATATAAATATTTACTTATAAATTTATAAATCATAAATAAAATAAACTTTAGAAACAGTAAATTTAAATATTAATGAGCAATAAAATTATTTAATGCTCATTAAAATAAAATTTATTTAAATTTTTTACTTACATTAGTGTTTTTATCTTAAAACGCTCAAATACTTTATAAAAAATATAAACATTTAGTTATTTATATATAAAAATGGCTACTAATAAATATTCAAAAGAATCCTAAAGCATTAAACAGAATAAACTGACACAATTAATAAAGTTTTCAGAATAATTTAATATGTTAAACATTTTTTTTGAATTATAAGCTTTTCAAAACATTTTAATGACTAGATTTTGCTAAAATTTTTTGTGGATTCATACAGAACAGAAATAGGGTATTTAATTGATATTCGATTGCTTACCTTACTTTTAACGCATTTTGTTAAGTGAGTTGTTAAGTCAAGTATGAAATGTTAAATTTAAAATACGAACAACATTTGTATCAAATATATTTTAGATATATAACTGAAATAAAAGCAGACTCCTTAAACCTTTTGGTTGGATGATATTCAATTAATCCTAAGTAGCATTATAATCTCATTCTAAATATCATTATAGATTGCATTACAAAGCAGGCACCACTCATAAAAAAAATCTGTATTCCCTCTCTTAAGAAAATGTAAAATCAACATAACACCTTTAAAACATATTTATTTAAACTATTTGCATTCAGGTTGAGATTTAAAAAATAAAAAAATACCATATATCACACTTTTTCCCATATTCACTATCACATTGTTGTGCATTGATAACTTCAGGACTTATATAAAAAGGTGTCCCAACAAATGTTTTACATCCTGTCTGAGAATGAGTTGTCTAAAGATAAAAATTATTATGATTTAAAAATATCTTAGAGCATGAAGTTAATATCTAATTTAAAAGAGCTAAACTGATTTTTCCTTTTTTTTTAAACTTTACTTCCAAAAAGTGCTACAAACAACTACTATCAAGTTGGAAGTTACAATAAACTTTGATATTTTTATATGCCCTTTTTTCACTATTGACAATATTTTAATTATTGGCTCTTACAAAACACAACTTTAAAATAATGTTTAAATCAAAGGATTAGGAATAATGTTTATTTACTTAATCATTCAAAGTTACCTTGCATATGGGGTTGCTTTGAATATTTTTTGCAGTAAAAGCAAAATATTTTTATTGGTTTTAATATTTGATAAAAACAACACTCTAGGTTTACATAAACTTAGTATTAGTAAAAAAATAAAATAAAATTTCATACCGAGCCCTGAAAAGTTTTTTTAGGAATTCAAAGTGATCTATACAAAGTATTCTGGCTAACCTAAGATTTTACTTTTATAATTGCTGAAATTGTTATTTCTAAGGTGGTAGAGTTCGGACCATCTAGTGAATTTTTAATGATATACCCTGTGCATCATAAAGACTCTGTGTGCCCCTGACCTTGTCATTATTATTTTTGTTATTTTTATAACTTTAAAAACATCAGTTTTCTTAAATAAATATTGTGTTTATTATTTTAAATTTCTTAAAGCATACCCTTAAATGTAATAATTATAATCTAAAATATATTATTGATTGATTTTCAGATATCCAAAATTACTCTAATATAGTTTTGCATGTAATAACCACCACGTCCCTGGTAGTACCGCGCTCAACTCGTTTCTCCGCGCAGCGGCCTTGTTCGTCAAGGTTCGTGTTTCGGAGTTATAGAGTTGAAAGAGGGTTTCAGCCAGAAATAAGTAGCCTCCTCGTCTGTAGTGGCCTTTTCGGCCTTGAGGAGGTGAATTAAAAAAAAAAAAAAAAAAATAAGATGCCGCTCTTGCATGAGAAAAGACTGAATTGCATTTATAATTTCTCAACTTTTTTGAAAGCTAATCCATCAATTCATTTTTTAGAAAAAGTACTCTGACCTATACGACCAGTTACTGTTTTAACTTGTTTATTATCTTGATTAAAAATAAGTTTAAAAGGAATGCTATGAATGCTATGCTATTTTTAAGAATGGTATTACCCAATAAAATGTATATATATAGAAACATTTACCTTGCCACACTTTTTTTTGTGTCAGAAATGGATAACACCAACTTTTTTGATTACTCGTATTTGTTGAAAATTAAAACTAATCTTAATATAATTCTTCCAGTTAACTTTTAACTTTAAATGCGCATGGTTACGTCTATTGTTCAATC